CTCATTTACAATTTATTGTCTATATAATTTATGTTTTTATATTATTAACATTCATTTGTAAACAGCAGGGTAATTAAATTGTGGATCAGCTTCTTTGATGCACAGAAACAAACCAGTATAAAGACGGTAAAAATTATTGCTAAAATATCAAATAAACTCACACAAAGAACACATAGATGTCACAACTATCCTATCTTTGATAGCATCACATATTTGATGAACATCACATAATTTGAAAAATTCAAACCATTCGATAATTTCCACATGAGCATCAATAAATCAAAATATGACCAGTAGTTTTAATGAAGACTTAATGGATGGATGACTTAGATGAAAATTACACATACATGTATTGATTTATGGCAATATAGAAAAGAAATGATGAATGTAATTTAAATATATGTATTACTGTTTTCATGCTGCCAATACAAAGGTTGAATAAACATTAAGCATTTAGCAATAAAATTTTATTTAATAACGATTTTTGGTGCAATTCTTCATTGAAATTCTCAGTTGATCCCCTTTTCCTTGAAGGATAAGAAGTGGAAGATGAACAGAAGACTCAATTAAAGTTATATTGTCAGCAAAAAATAGTTAAAAACCCTGTCAAATTTGAGTAACTTGAGAACAATCAAATCCTAAAATGTTATACTGATCAAAACCTGATTTATTGTGCTGTTTATAATGCCTTCACTATAATAAATCCTGTTTGGAATCTAGGAAGTATGTAATGTTAATTTGAATATAGTCTAAACATGCATGACATAGTTCTATAATATAAAAGGGGGGAGGGCTAATGGCTATATACATGTAGGAATCTATTCAAGACAACTGTTCAGTGATGTTTGGCTATTGACAGATAGATATTTTGAGATTAATGTAAGTTGTATTTATTATACAAATGTATTATGCATATTACTTCACATGCCAACTGCTTCTAACACAATTTTACTGACAATACAACTTCAGAAGTGTAAAGTTTGAAAAGCATATTACATGACAAACCCTTAATTTTGTAGTAATAATTATGCTAAAAATAAAGAATACAAAATAACCTATAAAAAATAAAAATATTTACAATAAATAGCTAAACTGATATCCTCACAAAATTTGAAATGCAATGAGCATTGAATATTCGTAATAAGGCCAAAATTTTATATTTAATTATTTTATTTGTTATTAAAGGATAGTGGTCATTATCAGTGTCCCCATGCACGGTACATTTTGCATATAACCAATATTGAAAATAACATGTCTACAACCACTGCACTGTAAAAGCATTTATTTATCTTACAAAACTTCAGTCTCATTCCCAAAAACATGCTTGCTATATACAATATGCACACAAATGATATTAATCTTATTCATTAAAATACATGCTTAGAGGTGGAAATATCCTACCAACCCAGTACAAACATGTGGGATATGGATATATTAAACTTACATCTGATTGTAGCCATCTAAATTGCTGAAACAAGTTCTCATTTCGGACCCAAAACAGTTTACTGCAAATTAGTTTCAACACAAGTCATGACACAGTTCCTAATGTTCAATAGAAAATATCATATATAACGTAGATGCAAAGTTAGATTGCAATCAGACCAGGCATGTCATAAATAGCATTCCTCAATAGAAAATGTCTGTCAGTCAGCCATTTGAATCATTTGCATCAAGATTCCATTAAATGACTGCTGTCCATGTTTGACCAAGATCTGGGGCTTGAATAGCAAAAATGCTTGATTTTTATACATTTTAAATATTATAATGGCAGCCACTTTAGACTATCTTGAACAAGATCGTCAAACAGATAATACACAGAATGGCAGAAATAATTTCCTGCATTGTTGCAATCTTTTTTCATCAAAACAAAAAGCACTTCATACAGCAGTAGTGTGAATGTTGCATGATCACCATGACAAATTAGATTTGTTGATCATTCATTTGTGTTGGCGATGCAATACAATGCCAAGAGCTGAAAGCAAACTATGGACTAAGATTAGTTAGTACAAATGTAACACTTTCTATACACTAATGATAATCAGCAATCAGAATCTTGAATGTCGGAGGCACCCTCTGATAACTTTAGTTTGTCATCTAACGATACAGCCGCAATAGTTAATGTATTGGGATCCATGGGTAGGGCAGGTATACCAGCTTCCGTATCTACATTCACTGGTGATGTGACTGCTGACATCTGGGACAGTGACTCTGCTTCACTGCTACTTGAAGCCTGCAGATACAATAGACACATTGTAAGTATAGTGAACAGGTTGAATACTAGTGAAAGGCAATCTATAAAACAAGAATTCACAAAAGTGAGGGATCTGACATTAATGATACTATTTGTTATATTTTATTATAACCAAATAGGAGGGAGGGGGGCTAACAACATGAAATATAGTGTGGTGGTCATTAAATGTGTTAAAAACATACCAATATTCCAGGATGAGTAGCAGCAGCTAAACATATCTTTACAATAAATGGAATACACAAGGATTGGAATTTGTAGATTGCTTTTACATATATCTGTTCTTGGAAATTCCCAAAATGATCTTAAAAATGTTTGTAACTGGTGTGCAAACTATCTAATATATCTGAGCTTACTTGCTAATCATGGCATTAGAAACCTGTCACAAGCCCAAGCAATATCAAATACAAGTGAAAAGTAAATGGTATACACACAAAAGGTCATTTTCATGCCAAAAAAATTATATGCACCAAAGCATAGTTTATAGTGAATTTAGAGTGAATAATTGGCTGGTCTAGTATCAACAGAAATTAGATGTATTAAATGACTCTTCCAAAATTGTAATATATAGTCAGAAATTAAACAGGATATGCTAGTAATGCATTTTTTGTATAGAAAATGAATTTCATTTGTTGAGGCTAATGTACAGAAATATGAAACACAAAACAAATCATCATGGACATGTATCTCAATGTGTATAATGTTTGTATAAAAATTGAAAACATTTAAAAAAAAACAAGATGGATACCAGTCGGCCATCTTTGATCTGATTATGGAACAAACTGACATATGTATTCCTATATATATGATGTATGTGCCAAATATGATAAAGTACTAGGCACATGCAAAGAATTCTAAAATATGACTCTGGACATTCATTCGAACAGGAACTATTAGTGTGAAGAGAAATTAAAAGTTCACCTCAAGTTACATGTATACAGTGATGTAAGGTGAAAAGATTGGGCAAATCCTACTCCATGTATCAATCAGTGTCAAAATAAAATAGTTTGTTGAAAAACTCACAGCATGATGTCCTTGAGTCTTGAGATTGAGTCTTGTCTGAAAAGCTACCTGCATTGCTGCACTTAGTGTACGACATATCTCTTCTCCTGATGCATCACACTCAAATACACTACATGAAAACCTAGTCATTGTACTTGTATAACCTTTATTACGAGTTATAAATGCAAATAACCTATCATACAAAGAAAATAATAGAATATTAGGATAAATAAACCTCCATATGAGGTAGAAAATCTAAAAGTGAGATTCACAAAAGAAGTCTCATGAGAGAATATCCAGCATCCAGTGATAAGTCATTTATATTAAGTATATATGACATAATGTGTAATGCATGTATGAGATACGACTCCTTAACTGTGCATAACAAGATGACTGCCAGTATTTGTCTGATATGATGTCTGATGTACATGTATGCTTGATGTTTGAACATCATCAGTCCATGCATGTTAGACCACGATCTGCATTCTTTAAAACAAAATGACAACCAGTTAAGCTATTTTGAACCTGATACCCAAAATAAAATGACATGCATTGTCCACATACAACTAAGATTAGATTCCAGAATGGTGAAAATGTGTGATTTTTAGATCATGAAAATGCCATTCAGCCATCTTGAATCAAATCATGATACAAATGCATGTGCACACATCAAATACAATGTTTGATGTATCTGTAAAGTTTGAACTTAATTGGTGCAAGATATTAAAATGTATAGAGATCAATCTATAACTACCCAAAATCCAGTGAGCACTGCATTTGAATGTTAAATACTGTCAGTGCATGGTTATTTCATGATGTAAAATCATTATGTTAATGACTATCAGTGCATACCCATTTCATGATGTAAAATCATTATGTTAATGACTATCAGTGCATACCCATTTCATGATGTAAAATCATTATGTCAATGAATGTCAGTGCATACCTATTTCATGATGTAAAATCATTATGTCAATGACTATCAGTGCATACCCATTTCATGATGTAATATTGTGTCAATGACTATCGGTGCATACCTATTTCATGATGTAATATTGTATCAATGACTATCAGTGCATACCTATTTCATGATGTAATATTGTGTCAATGACTATCGGTGCATACCTATTTCATGATGTAATATTGTGTCAATGACTATCGGTGCATACCTATTTCATGATGTAAAATCATTATGTCAATGACTATCGTGCATACCTATTTCATGATGTAATATTGTGTCAATGACCATCAGTGCATACCTATTTCATGATGTAATATTGTGTCAATGACTATCGGTGCATACCTATTTCATGATGTAATATTGTGTCAATGACTGTCAGTGCATACCTATTTCATGATGTAATATTGCATCAATGACTATCAGTGCATACCTATTTCATGATGTAATATTGTGTCAATGACTGTCAGTGCATACCTATTCCATGATGTAATATTGTGTCAATGACTATCAGTGCATACCTATTTCATGATGTAATATTATGTCAATGACTATCAGTGCATACCTATTTCATGATGTAATATTATGTCAATGACTATCAGTGCATACCTATTTCATGATGTAATATTATGTCAATGACTATCAGTGCATACCTATTCCATGATGTAATATTGCATCCCTATTTCATGATGTAATATTGTGTCAATGACTATCGGTGCATACCTATTTCATGATGTAATATTATGTCAATGACTATCAGTGCATACCTATTTCATGATGTAATATTATGTCAATGACTATCAGTGCATACCTATTTCATGATGTAATATTGCGTCAATGACCATCAGTGCATACCTATTTCATGATGTAATATTGCGTCAATGACTATCAGTGCATACCTATTTCATGATGTAATATTGCGTCAATGACTATCAGTGCATACCTATTTCATGATGTAATATTGCGTCAATGACTATCAGTGCATACCTATTTCATGATGTAATATTGTGTCAATGACTATCAGTGCATACCTATTTCATGATGTAATATTGCGTCAATGACCATCAGTGCATACCTATTTCATGATGTAATATTGCGTCAATGACTATCAGTGCATACCTATTTCATGATGTAATATTGCGTCAATGACTATCAGTGCATACCTATTTCATGATGTAATATTGCGTCAATGACTATCAGTGCATACCTATTTCATGATGTAATATTGCGTCAATGACTATCAGTGCATACCTATTTCATGATGTAAAATCATTATGTCAATGACCATCAGTGCATACCTATTTCATGATGTAATATTGTGTCAATGACTATTTCATGATTTAAACCATTGTGTCAATGACAGTCAATGCATACCTATTGTTTTCATGATGTGCTGCAAAGAAGGAGACATCTTCCAAAGCATATTGGGATCTTATTCCTTGATTACTAGGATCCAGCAAACTGAAATATCAAGTAATGAATCTATTTAAGTGTGAATGCACCTCATCATTTGTTGTCAGTCATTACATATTAAAAACGCACAATGAAAAAACAACATATAAACAGATTATGTATTAGAACCCACAACTTCTATTAAAATGGTACAATGCAACAGAGGGGAAGCAGCTTCTATTAGAGCATCTACAGATTTGTTGGTTGCAATTGTTCAAAAACAATGTATGCAGCTCCTGTAAGTGTTGCTGCTTCTATTAGTGTTGCTGCTTCTATTAGAGTTGCTGCTTCTATTAGGGATGCTGCTTCAATTAGGGATGCTGCTTGTATTAGGGATGCGGCATCAACTAGTGTTGCTGCTTGTATTAGGGATGCTGCTTGTATTAGCGATGCTGCTTGTATTAGGGATGCTGCTTGTATTAGGGATGCGGCATCAATTAGGGATGCGGCATCAATTAGGGATGCGGCATCAATTAGGGATGCAGCATCAATTAGGGATGCTGCTTCTATTAATGTTGCTGCCTCTATTAGTGTTGCTGCCTCTATTAGGGATGCAGCTTCTATTAGTGTTGCTGCTTCAATTAA